GACGTTGGCGGGAACAATAAAACTTTAGAAGAACATGAAGAATGTCTTCAGATAGTGAATGGCTCCCTGTAGAATGGAAAATAGACTTTTTCCTTTGTGGCTCTAGAGCAGTCGTCTGAGTCTCCTGGAGGGCTCATTAAAACAGATTACTGAGCAGCAGCCCCCAGAGTTTCTGATTCAGGAGATCTGGGGCAGAACCAAGAATCTGCATTTCTAACACGTTCCCAGGACATGCTGATTGACGCTGCTGGTCCAGGGACACAGCGTACCAACTCCTGTGTTACACACTCTGTCTACATTTTCTCCGTTATTCCCCCCCATTTTATAGTGGAGGAAACTGAGGTGCAGCTTTTCACAGGTCTCACAGGTCTCTGACTCCAAGCCTGGACATGCCGAAGCTGAGACTGAATTCTATTTCTGAGTAGGAGGTTGCATTAGATAATTTCAGAGGGTCCTTCCAACTCCCAAAGTTAGACTAGCTTCAACTTGCACTTTAAAGTACTAACACATATTTGGCACCAACTGAACGTCAGGTATTACACCACGTTCCCTCCAGGATGTGTGTGGTCACCGATTTAATTCTAAAGACGCCTCTGGGCCATCTCACCTGTTCCTGTCCCTGCCATCCATCCCTCTTGTCACCCGCAGTGACCCCCTTCACTCTCTAGACAGGCTGAAAACTCAGTTCATCCGGATATTTGGAAAGGAGGCACTTTGTACACACACCCATCTCTGCTATTTGTGTTCAAGTTGAGAAGGGTGGCTGTTTCATCTGGGTGCAATCTTTGGCACTAAGCTGTCTGTCACCTGCCCTATGCCAATCCCAGACAGAGCATGCCAATCCACTCTCCACATGCTGGCCAGCAAGGCGATGATGTGGGGGATCAAGACAGAATCCAGATATGGGGGAGGGGTGGCCTCCTGCCCCAGAATGGCCAGAGGAACAACAGAATGTGCTTACTGACAGTGAACTGGAGACTTCACTCTGTTGCCCCTGCCTGGCCTCCTGAGAGTCTGGGAAGCAGAGACTGGAGCACCCTGGGGACTGAGGGCAGAGCCATGGTCACTTAGAGAATCCCACCAAGCATGAAATCTGTACCAAGTCCCAGTGACTTTCCTCGAGGCTGCAATAATCAGACGTTTTCTCTTTGTACGTTCTTTTTTTATATTTAAAGTTACCAATTCTAATAGAAACAGTAAGAAAAGTAAAATGTACATGATGGGTTTAGATTCTAAGGAGTTTGGGCAGCTGTGGTGCATGTAAAAGGATCATGGTTAGGTTTCACTCTGTATTATATTATCTTGTTTGCTTTCTTCTTGAGAATTTCCAGGATGTAGATCACCTATCATGGCTCAATAAGTGCCATTGATTTATTCCTTATCAACTTCCGGGTGGAAATGAGAGTTAAGTGTACTGCAAACACTTCTCACCAAGGAATCAACTCCTGCACCCAGTGAAGAACAGACCCCATGGTCCTGGCCTTGGGAGAGCAGCAGTAAACAGATCATTAGCAATGGTTTGGAATGGCAGCCCCAAGGAGAGACCCTAGGAAGTCCAAAGAAATATCCTGAGGAGGTGACCTTTGAGGCAAATGAAAAGATTCCAGTCAGCAAGAGCTGGAGAACCCTTCACTCCTACAGATCCTTTCTGCCTTTCCATATTGTCTTTCCATATTTGGGGGTCTCAAACTGCTTTCCAGAGTTGAGGGAAAGGGATCACTTCCTTCCAGTTTTCAAGGAGGGAAATCAAAGAATGGCTAAAAGACCATCCAAGATTTTATCTTTCAAATTTAAGGAAGACCACAGGGTGCCCAGCTAGGGCAAGAGGCTTGAATACAAAGCACAGAGGAAATATAGGACAGCCTCTGCCCTTGAGGAGCTTGCTATCATTGGGAAAAAGATGTGTAAATAAAAAAAACAAATACAATTGTAAAGATATTGTGCAAATACTTCAGTTCCCCCCCCCCCAGCTATTTATCCAGGACTCTATCTTCAAGGCGTTTGGTAAGACACTTGGTAGGGGTGGGGAGAGTTAGAACCACAGGTCAATACAGTCGCTGCCTTAAGAACTCACAGTTTAACTAGCTGCAAGGGAGGCAAGGTGGCAGGAAGAGGCAACTAACAATCTGTGGAATATAATAGCTGACACTGTGAAGACAGTAGGGGCAAGGAATAAATCTGGGGCTTGATGGAATTTGGGGGTTGGATAGACTTTTTCTGGGACAGGTTCCTAGAGGAATTGGACAATGTGAAGATGCTAGGAATGGAGATAGAGAGAGAAGGAAAGAGAACAAGCAAAACCTTTTCACATATACCTCCTTCCAGATCCAGTTCAGGAATCATCTCTTCCATGAAGCCCACCCAGGCAAAATGAGATCCCTCCCTTCCAGGCTTTCAAAGCACCCCTAGCACAGAATGTATCTCATTGCTGTAGTTGTTTCCTTATGGCTTATCTCAGCTCAAGCCCCTCCCTACGCCCAAAGGGAATGGAAGGGAGGGGAGGAAAAGAGAGGGGAAGGGGGGGAAGGGAGGGGAGGAGCGTGGAGGGGAGGGGATTAGGAAGGCCTTTGACTATATATATATGTGTGTGTGTATATATATATATATATATATATATATATATATATATATATATATATATATATATATATATATATATATATATATATATATATATATATATATATATATGTATGTATTGCATCCACAATGGGTGTCTCACTTTATTTTTGTTTACTTATTTTTACTTTTTACTATTTTATTAAAACATAACGTACAGACAGTAAAAGGCTCAAATCATAAGCATACAGCCCAATGAACACTGATATATGTTTACATCTGTGTAACTACCACCCAGACCAAGATATAGAATGCTTCTAGCACCCCAGATACTATGGGCTGCCTCACTGTGCCAGGGTCATTGCCATTGTGGCCAGAGGAGCTGAACCAGTAGGGTGATGTAACGGGGAGCACCATCTAAGGAAATTATGAAAGAATTTCAGGTGTTTGGGCTGGAAAAGCCAAGCGCTGAGGCAAGGTCATTGTTTGTGAGAACTAACAGCACAGAGCAATTAGACTTGTCCTATAGGTGGCAGCAGGGAGCCACAGGGAGGAGCGTTTCAGTTCCGCACCCTTCCTGCAACCAGAGCTGACCCACTAGGAAATAAGTGGGTTCCCATCGATAAAAGGTATCAGTCGAGAACAGGACTGACAAACATTTATCAGCAATGATAGGGTAGGGATAGGGGACTCAGTCGGAGGTGGCTCCTTCCAACTCTGAGCTTCTTCTATGGTTCTGGAATTCTGTGACAGTAGCATAGAGGACTCAATCAAAACGCTTGTGGTTATGATTTGTTTGTTTTTCTAGAGGAAAACTTAATCACTTAATCACAAGTACTGTGCAGGCGCATCATTATCATCGCTGAATTAGTAATTGTTGGGCCGGCCAAGTGGCGCATTGGTTAAGAGCTGGCTTGGGACACCAGAGGGCCCCGGTTCGGATCCCACATATGGGGGACAGTGACACTGCCCTCTACAGCTAAGATGCTGAACAGCAGCTCAACAGCTCAACCTGGAGCTGGGCTGCTGTGAGTCACAGCGATGGCATAGGCTGCAGCCCCAGCTGCAGTGGGTTGCCATGGGCTACCGTGTGTAGCCAGCAGCCGCAGTGAGCGGCCGTCCAGAAGTCAGCGACTGATCTGCCTTGCCCGGGAAGAGCGCAATGATGGTGCCAACTTGGGCCAGTGAAGCAACGTCCTCCACAACTAGACTGAAGAACAAAAGGACAGCAACTTGTCTGTTTCCCTTCCCCCAATTCCCCAGTGCTGTTCCCATCTCCCAATTCCCCAGTAAAAATATTAAAAAAAAAAAAGAATTAGTAATTGTCATCATCTACAGACCAACTGAGTCAGAGAGAATTTGGGGCTCCCCTCCCTGGTGCTAACAGTCTAGGGGGATGGAGCAGATGCTGAGATGGCACTGTGAGACAGGACCAGCATCTGCAAGAGAAGTTGGTTGCCCTCATCTCGTGCCAAGTTGTCATGGGGGCACCCACCCACCTACCTCCTCAGCCTTTTCAGCCCTGGTCCCCCTGGGGGGCAAGTGGGCATGAATAATGGTTCTTGCCACTACCAGAAAACCAGTGCAGAGGTGCCAATGTAGGTCTCATTTTCCGCGCCCAGGGAACAAGGCAGGAATGGTAGTGTCCTGGTTCCCTCAGGAGCAGGACCACACAGGATCCACCAGCCCCATGACCCCCTGGGGGGAGAGACAGCCTGTGCCAGCTGAAGGCTCCTCCAAGGACTCCTGGTCTGGAGGTTAACACCCTCCCACCCCACTTCCTTGGGGCTTTTTCCAGCAAAATAGGAATTTCCCCCAGAATTCTTTTTATTCCTAGAGAATTATTTCCAAATTTCTTCTGGGATTTCTCCAGGTTACCATCCTCCCCTTCCCGTTCCCCTCCCCTCCCTCAAATAGGAAGAAGAGAGATGGAGTCCAGACCCAGCGTCCACATCTTCCTTCGTCCTGAACCTGCCCAAGGCGCAGATGCGATGTGGCCAGTGAAGAGCGGCTCCAGGCCCTTCCACGGAGCTTAGCGTGAGGAAGATGGATAGTTTCTAGGGTTTTCCATCTGAAGGGCAATGAGCCTTTTGAGGTTCTAATGAAAGCCATGAATACCCTCCCAAGAAAAAAATATATGTAGAAAACTTGCCTTCTGTTCCAGGGTAAGTTGGGGGCGCTGTCAGACCCTGGAAGTCTGTCTGTGAAGCCCCTAGGTTTAAGGGGGAGGGCTGGGGGCCTCCTCCACGCCGAAGCCCAGGCTCAGCTTGTGTCTGGGAGCGCTTGGGGCTCCCCGGAGACCACCCAAGGCTTTGTAAGATCCCGCTCTTCAGCTTCTCTTTGCACACACAGGACAGCTCCGGCTCTCAGTTTTCCCAGCTCTAAAATGGGCACTCAGGGCCTTCCGACCCTGGGGATGTTGTATAAGGAGGCTGGCTGTACCAGGAACTGTGTGGGAGGAAGACGGGGGTGGAGAGCGGCTCCCGGTTAGTCGCTCGCAGCCGCGGGGAGGGTGAGCTGGTGTGTGCGGCAAAGAGCGGAGACTCGCGCCCCGACGCGCTGCCCGCCGGCCGCAGAGGAGCCCCCTCCATCCCCGGGCCTGGGTGGGGGCGGGGCCCCTCGCCCGGCGGCCCCTCCCAGCCCCTCCCTCCTGCCGCCGGCCTCCAGGGCCCGGCTGGCCCTCCCGCGGGCAGGCGGCATTCGGGCACTACCGCGCTAGGGGCCAGCAGCCACCAGCCCGTCCGCCAGCTGGGGCCATGGGCTGCGACGGCCGCTTGTCGGGGCTGCTCCGCCGCAACCTGCAGCCCACGCTCACCTATTGGAGCGTCTTCTTCAGCTTCGGCCTGTGCATCGCCTTCCTGGGGCCCACGCTGCTGGACCTGCGCTGCCAGACACACAGCTCGCTGTCCCAGATCTCCTGGGTCTTCTTCTCCCAGCAACTCTGCCTCCTGCTGGGCAGCGCCATCGGGGGCGTCTTCAAGAGGACGTGAGTGCTGGACCCTTGCGGCGCGACCCTTCCCGTCTCCCTCGTCCCTGTCCCTGTCTCTGTCCCCGCACTGCTGGGACTGCGACCACCTCCTCCCACCTCTGCCAGCTGTGTCCCTCTTGCCAAAAGGCTGCCTCCTTCCCACACTCCAGCTCTACCGGGAAAAGTCTCTCCTGAGACTGAAGGTGATTTCTGGTTTGTTTATTGGCCTTCACTCACCCCTGTGAGGGGGTCAACCTACGTCTCACTCCACTTGGAGAAGGATGATGGAGTTTGCAGAGGTGGGAGGGTCTCCCTCCTGCACAGCTGATCGGAGGTTTGTCCTTAGCCCCTGCTGCCCTGGGCAAAATTGGAAGTGAGGTGGAAGGAGAGTGGGATTGTCACCTCAGGTGCCCTGGTAGGTGCCAGAACAGGCTGAGGCTGACAGATCGCCCTGGGGCTGGCTCCACTCACACCATCAGTTCCACATCAGCTGACACAGCCTGTTCCTTTCTCCAGGTGGCCACAGGGCTGGTGGGACCTGCTTTGGAGGGACCAAGGTTCCTTCATTGGACCCTGGAGGTAGAGCCCTTCTGCTTGCGAAATAGCTAGGGCCTTGTAGGGAAGGTGCCAAGTGTCCTCACTTGTATCAGCTTGGTAAGGTGACCCTCTGTCCCTGTGCCAGGGTCCCTCTCCACTCTCTCACCCCATGTTACTCCTCCTTGGCCTCTACCTAGGCAGGGCGCTGGAGTGCCTGGCATAGCCCCCCCAAAACCCCTCTTTTGGATTCCATTGCAGAGCCTCATTGTCCAGCTCAAATTGGACAGGGCCATCTCTGAGGAGCCCTTTAGAAAGGTAGCAGGATCACTCCTAGTGCAGCTAGGAAAACAGATCCAAAGCAGGGGATACATGACTTGCAAGCCAGATGCTGCTGGAGATTTCCCTAGTCCCAGCTCCAGGGTGGGTGGTTTCCTGGATTGCATGGGCTCAAGCAGGCAGACAGCCTGGGAACAAAACCACAGTTGGGCTATTCCAGAGAAACCTCTATGGGGCTGTTCTGGACCAAGGACTCTCACTGTTTGGCTGACTCCCAGAGGCATCCATGAGGGTAGGTTTTCCCATCCACCTTGCATCCAGAGCTAATGGAAGAGGGACACAGGTGTCATATAGATGGGCCCCGCTTTAAGCCACCCAACTGACAAAACATTATCAGTTAGGGAGTGATTATCCCCATTACCAAATCTGCTTGTAAATTGGAGAATTCTCCTCTTAAGAAGCAAGACTCCTTGTGTACATCAGTGTTTCTGTGGGTTTTGTACAGGATTGGATGTATGTGAGATTCAGAAAATCTTAAGAAGCTCAAGATCCATTCTGATTCTGCCTAGAGTGTTTTTTTTTTAAATTTACTTTTCAATTACGATTGGCATACAATATTATATTAGTTTCAGGTATACATCATAGTGATTAGACATTTCTATATACCTTGTGAAGTGATCACCCCAGTAAGTCTAGTACCCATCTGGCACTACACATAGTTATTGCAGTATTATTGACTATATCCTTGGTGCTGTGTTTTATATCCCTGTGACTATTTTTATAACTGGCAATTTGTACTTCTTAATTCCTTTCACCTTTTTCATCCATCCCCCCAAGCACCCTCCCATCTGGCAGCCATCAGTTTGTTCTCTGTATCTATGAATTTGTTTCTGTTTTGTTTGTTCATTTATTTTGTTTTTTAGATTTCACATAGAAATGAAATCATATGGTATTTGTCTTTCTCTGTCTAACTTATTTTGCTTAGCGTAATACCCTCTAGGTCCATCCACATTGTTGCAAATGGCAAGATTTCATTCTTTTTTATGGCTGAGTAATATTCCATTGTATATATGTGCCACATATTCTTTATCCTTTTATGTATTGATTGACACCTACATTGCTTCCATGCCTTGGCTATTGTACATAATGCTGCAATGAACATGGTGCATATGACTTTTCGAATTAGTGTTTTGGATTTCTTCGGGTAAATACCCTGGAATGGAATTGCTGGGTCATATGATAATTTTATTTTTAATGTTTTGCAGAACCTTCATACTGTTTTCCATAGAGCCTGCACCAATTTTCAATCCCACCAGCAGTGCACGAGGGTTCCCCTTTACTCCACATCTTTGCCAGCACTTGTTGTTTGTTGATTTATTGATGATGGCCATTCTGACAGGCGTGAGGCAATATGCTCAGAAGTTTAATTAGAAATCTGTTAAGGTGTTTTTCTGGTTTTGTTCCTGTTTTTTAAGTATTTTGACTTATAAAAGCTCCCTTACCTGGAACTTTTTAGGAACATGTGTAGTGCAAAGAACAGGAGGGGGAGTGAGGATAATTCTGAACGGCAGGTTGGTGTACAGATTTTGTAAACAGGGCAGATGCACACCCAACTTGGCCATCTCTTCCTCACTTGCTTTGTACCTCCCTCAGGGTTCCTGACTCAGTAGAGGACTCTGAACAGGCAGTGGAAAGGGCCTTGCAGCAGGAAACCAGTTCTCAGAAAAGAAAAATGATAATGGTAATAATAATAGACTAACTTTATTGAGTACTTACCCAATGCCAGGCGCTGTTCTTAGTACCTCACTTGTGTCATCTCATTTAATCTTCACAACAATCCTGAAGAGTAGTGCTATTATTTCCATTTTATGCAAAATGAAGCTGAGGCACAGAGAAGTTAGGAGACTTGCCCCAGGTCACACAGCTATTAAGAGGCCTAGCCAGGATTTGAACCCAGACATTTGCCTCTAGAACCAGATACTTTGAAATGCCTCTTGCTCTATGAATAGTCAGCTTCAACTCTGCAGGGTACAAGTTATGCCCTGTACTCTCTGGGCACATTCCTGAGCTGACACTCCTGGGAAGGAAACTGGGCCTCTGGGGCTTCCTGCTGGGATCTGAGGGGTGGGGGTAGAGTAGGGTGGGGGGAGTAGGTCCTATCAATGTTTCGGGTTTAAATTCTGAACCTCAGTCCTCCCATCCCCAAGACAAAATGTCACAAAGAATCCTTTCCTTTGGTTAAGAGCAAAGCAGACTTCAGTGGAAATAAAGGGCTATCACAGGGGTGGCCTGTATGGAGGTGGGAGTCGCCACTTAGCTAGGGCTGGACAGCTCAAGGGATTCCCCATCCCCCAACCCTAGAACCTCCACCAACCCAGAAACCATCCTCTAAAGCTTGATTGCTTGGGGCCTCCCCAGGTCTCAGTTAAAATGCTAATACCTCTGCAAATGCTTTTCAGCTGAAGTGGTTATGGCTAGCGCACCAGGCTGGTGCTTGTCAGTGAGGGATTGGCTGAACAAGAGAGGGCCAGCTGTTGCGGGGGAGTCGGGGAGAGTGCGAATCTGTGGAGAGAGGAGAGTTCAGGCAGCACTTCTTTATCTAGGATTCCTGCTCAATCCTGCCTACTGCTTGACCCAGACTGAAGGTCAGGGCTGAAGAGTGTCTGGATGCCTCCACAGGGACGTGCATTGGAGGGACGACTGGGTGTGGAAAGCTTTGGATATTAGAGTGGGTGCAGGGGAGGACAGGAGCCCTTGGGTCAGGGCAGGACCAGTGTTATGTGCTTTGTCAGACAGGAAAGAGGAATGGGGTATTTAGACAAAAAGTTAGAGTTTCTTTCCTGGTTTCTTGGGGACCTGTCTAACCACTCTGGGCAGTTTGGGAGACCCCTTTAACGCAAAAGCATCAGGATAGATAAACGGCTTTCAGAGTTTCCCAGCTCACCTTGGCCTCGCCCCTGCTTGTGCCCACTTACCTGAAGGCGTGCTGAGCTCTTCCCACTCTGTGCCCAATTCGTTATCTCCTTCTCTCCCTTTCTTTCCCCTCAAATTCCTACAAGTCCTGCCCTGCCCAAGACCCAGCTCTGACTCTCTCCTGCCCCTTGTAAAAACTCGGCCTTCTCTGCAAGGCTCTCCAGGCCACCCTCACACCGGCTTCCCCAGAATGCCGGCCCCTGGGGTCCCTGGAATACAGTACAAAAGCGTGTTCCCTTCCCTGAGTTGGGCCCTTGGTTGGTCTCCCATCTAGAAAGCCTGTATCTCTCCCTCCAGCAGTTTATACACCTTTCAGCAAGCAACAAACCTGGGCCGAAAGCCTACGGGGCTCTACCACCAGGCCTGCTTCTCGCTTGAAAAACCATCTCAGCATATGACCTAACAATTCTACTCCTAGGTACATGCCTCAAAGAACTGAAAACATATGTCCACACAAAAACTTGTCCATGCCTGCTCATAGCAGCATTATTCATGATAGCCAAAACGTGGAGACAAACCAAATGCCCATCAACAAAATGTGGTATATCCACACAATGGAATATTATCCAGCTATGAACAGGAATAAAGTATTGATACATGCTACAACGTGGAGGAACCTTGAAAACATGATGCTGAATGAACAAAGGCAGACACAAAAGATGGCATACTATGTGACTTAATTTATATGAAAGTTCAGAACAGGAAAATCTGTAGAACAGAAAGTAGGTCAGTTGCTGCTTAGGGCTGGGATTTGGAGAGGAGTGGGGAGTGACTGCAAATGGGTACAGGTTTCTTTTGCTCTTTGCTCTAAATTTAGATTGTGGTCATGGATTTACAACTGTGAACATACTAAAATCCATTGAATTGTACACTTTGAATAGATGAATTTTATGGTATGTAAATTATATGTCAGGTTTTTTAAATTAAAAAAATATCTCAAAACTCATCCCACCCCTTTATTCACTCATTCAACAAATATCTCTTGAGCCAGACCCTGTTTTCATGCAGCTTAACTTCTGGAGGACTATTGTAGTAAAATGAAGGAAATAAAGCCGAGTAAGGATGGAGAGTAGCAGAGTTGGGGGTGAGTAACAGGGTCAGGGAAGGCCTCTCCGAGGAGGTGACATTTGAGCTGACACCTGAATGAGAGGAGAGAGCCATGCATGCAAAGAGCTGAGGGAGAGGCTGACAGAGATAGAAGTCCAGCCAACGTGTAAGGAACACTCCCTGCGAGCCCAGCACCCCACTGGGCCAGGGCACATCATGCAAAGGGTGCAGCCCCAACCCGAGTCTACCAGAGCAGTCCTGCCTTAGGTATTCCTCCCTCCGGGTACCCCCAGCCTTAACACAGGGCCCTGAACAAGCTGGGGTGTCAGTGTAAGGGTGACCCAGCTCGAGGGGGCCTCTTCTCCCCTGGCCCCTTCTTCAGTCTAAGCTGCTCCTTCACTATTGTCTGGCTTGAGCTGCAGTTTCCAGCTTGCCCAGGGGGCGCCCTGCGTCTCCTGGTTTCTTGCCTTAGGCCTGTGCTCCTCTCTTGGGGCTGCCTGCCTTTTTGGGGTGGAGAGGTGCTGGGGATGCCTTTGACTCCTCGGTTCTGCACTCTGCCCCTCTTCCCTGGTCCTTCAAGGAAGAAGATCATCCAGGGTAGACAGGGGGCTCCCCTGAGGCAAAAATGTGAGGAGAAGGTCAATGCCCATTCTGGGGTCACTCATTCCTACCTGAGGTCACTCAGCCTGTGGTGGTAAGGGGCTGGGCCTCAGCAGCAATCTTCCCCACCCCTGGGGCGTGGAGAGCAGGACAGGCTGGCTGACACCTTACTGCTTGAGCCCCTCCCCTGTTTTGAAGCCAAGTAGCCCCTCGTTTTATTATAGAACCAAGAGGGCCAGAGCAGATGCTCACAGCAAGGCCAAGTCAAGGTGATCACGTGTGCCCTCTGGGTAAGGCAGACCACCTGGCTCAAGGTCACACAGCAAACTGGCGGGGGCAGCACCCCCGCCCCCAGCAGAGCCGCTGCCAGGCTGGGGGAGCACCTGGGCTCCCTGCCCGCCCTCCGTGTGGAGCTGTCAATGAGTAACTTGGACATTTCTCAGGCTTCCTAAGGAAGGGTTCCCGGGACTGTTTAGGCTATTCCTGGGAGTGGGGCCCTTCCCCTATTGGCCTAACTAACCTCTGAACCCGGGACCCGGGGAGGGCAGATCAGTGACACTACGCTGGCCTTTGCCTGGATTGGGAGTCGAGAAACTGGATCCCGGCTCAGCATTACTCAGCTCTCCTTCCCTGTCTGGGCCCGGTTCCTGATCTGTAACATGAGGTGTAGGACTCTTAGGTCCTTGTTGTCACTCTAGCAGTTACTGGACCAGCCTCCTGGGTCACCTGCAACAGGAACAAAGGCAGAGCCTGGGGAGAGAATCCAGGAGCTGGCACCAGCCTCCGCTCCCCTGCTGTAGGGTGTGCCTCTCTGGGAGAGCCCCGGGCCAGCAGGGAGGGAGAGAGCGTCTGGGAGGGGGGCTGCAGGTGGTGGGGGAAGCTCCCAGTAAGTGAGCAAAGGAGGGTGGGCTGGAGCCTCACACTCACTCCACACAGCAGCCTCATGAGGCAGAGCCTACTAGCCCCATTTTATAGTGGAAGAAACGGATGCTCAGAGGGCTACGGGTAAGTGGCTTGCCCTAAGCCACCCACTGGAAGTGGCGGAGGTGGGCCTAGGACCAGTCTTCTGACTATAGATCCCACCGCGTCCACACTGCCAAAGCTGTTTGGACATTATTATTTCATAATGTTTAATTACCCACATTCCTGGAAGGGGCCGTTGACCAAACCATTAAGTGACCACCAAGCCGATGGGTGTATTTCAATCTAGCTCTGGGATGTCTCTGGGACTCCTTTTCTCTTGGCAACAACATGCTCTTCTAAAGAAATTTGTTCAGGCTGACTTGTGGAATGCACAGGCACGGCCCCGCTGAGGCAAGGGGAGGGCGGGCAGCCTGCGATCCAAACACAAGGTTTCCTGAGTTGCAGCTGTTCCTTTACTGGGAACAGGTCTCCATTCCCCTCATGCCCAGGAACCCCAGGCCCAATCTGGGCTTGGCCCGCCTCAGCCCCAGCTGGCAGGTGGCAAGCTGGACGTGGCCCAGTGGGTGGCAGGAGACTTCCCAGGCCGGCCTCCCTCCAGCCTCTCTTTTCCACCTGTTCTCTCTTTATTCCTCCCTCTTGCCTGTCACTGGGCCTGGGAACAAGAAAGCCCCCTGTGGTCATGGAGTGCCCTTCTCAAGAATGACAACGTGAGAAGGTACAAATGGGAGAGAGCAGAGGCCTAGACGGGGCAGCCCACTGGCCCTGCCACCGGCCCCCAGCCCTTCCGCATGTCCTGAGCTTCCTTATTCCACTCAGCACCTTCCTGGCATGTCTCTGTCTCTGTTTCTCTGTCTGTGTCTCTGTTACCCCTATACAATCCCACATCAACCTCCTAACAGACTCCAGTCCCTTTCTCCAGGCCACCCTGTGCACGGTGACAAGCCTCCCTGAAGCACTACCCCCACTTCACTAGCAACAGCCAGTAACTCAGATCGAGCACCTTCTCAGGGTCAAGCGCAGTGCCAGGCCTGGGGTCCCACAATTAACAGATGCAGCAGATGCTTTGGGAGGCCTGTGATGGAGCCAGCAGTTAATATATGAAGTTATTACATGAAGCATTTGGAGCTCCCTTAACACCAGCAGAGGGACCACTGTGGGCTCATGTTCTAGCAACTACAGCTGGTCACTGTTGCATCCTGAGACCAGGCTGTGCAGAATTTGGCCTCATGCTCCAGCCTTGCTGAATCTGTGGCCCAGAACCAGCCTTTTTAAATCCTCTCTCTCTCTTTCTCTCCCTCTCTCTCTCTCTCTCTCTCTCTCTCTCTCTCTCTCTATCTCTATCTCTATCTCTATCTCTACCTCTATCTCTACGTATCTCCCCTCCTCCCCTCTCTCCCCTCTCTCCCCACTCTCCATGAACAAGCAGCATGGCTTAGGCAATATCAAGTCAGAAGTCCTGGATTTAAGTCCAGGCTCTGTCAGCTACTTTCTCAGCCTTTCTCAGCCTCAGTTTACCCGTGGATCAAAAACTGCAAAGTCTGCCTCACAGCATTGTCACGTGCGCCACTGTCTTAGACACGCTAAACAAACCTTGGTCATTGTCTTGTAAACTTATTTTCTTTTCCCACACTTCCCCACAGCGGCTTCCCATGTCAGTGACTGAGCCCAGGCCCTGTTCCCTTGGGATCTTGCTACAGGATTGATTACTAACCACTTTCATGCAGGTTTTTCAGGGCAGTATGATAATGTGTCAATTCTTCAAGAGAGTATTTGTACTTGGGACATCCATGCTCTACTGTAGAGTGGTGAGTGAGGTGGCGGGAATGTCACCCCTCCCTGTGTACCAGGTCAATGCAGGGAACATTTGAAGGGGAGAGAGAAGACCCTCTTGCTGTTGCTGAAGCCAGGCCACCCAGGAGCCTAGTCTATGTTATGCAGGGAAAGGAAGGCGAAAGAGAGAGAGCTATTTTGAGAGGTCTGCCATTTTTAGCAGCCTATAGAGGTGTGGGTATCACCTGTGTGCCAAACACGGATGAAAGCATCTACCTGGTTGCAGGAAACAGAAACACCTGAAGCTCAGTGAGCGACCCAGGCTGTCAGTGCTGGGGGCCTGCAGAGCAGGGATGCCAGTCGGGTAGAGGGGCCATCAGGAGGGACCCGAGCAGGCAACCCCACAACACAGCCTCCCTGTTTTCTTCACACTGTGTGTGTGTGTGTGGGGGGGGGCTGGGGGGGGGCGAAGTGAACCCTCCCCCGCCCCTCACGCAGCTCTGAGCTAGGAACAGGCCGGGGTCATGATCAGTAATCGGCCCAGCAGATCAGCCTGGAAATGAGAAAAGAGAAAATAACGAACTGCTGCTATCAGCAGAGCCTTTCTGATAAAGGATTTAATCAAAGATGGGCAAGAGAGAAGCTGAGAGCCAAGAGGGTCAGAGGCAAGAGCCTCTGGGAGAAGACAGCCTGGAGGGTCTTTTGGAGGCATCTCTCTTTACCTCGATGTGCTGGAAACTCAGCCATGTCTGCTTGCCACGAACCCCCGCGTATCTACCCCGCTCCAGGTCTAGCAGCCACAGAGGCTGACGGAGGGCTCCCCAAATCTTCATGATCTGAGAAAGTTCCTCCACAGCCTCTCCCTTTGAGAACCTTTTCACTGCTCCATCTCCTTCTCCCCACATCAGCCTTTCAGACTGACCCCAGAAAATACAAGGCTCCTTCCTGTCCCTGAGAATCTGGTTATTGGGCAGTGTACCAAAAAGACCTTGACAGAGCCTCAAACACTCCATTCATTTGTTCACTCATCCATTCATTCACTCATGGGGGACAGCCCTCAGCCTGCCTGCTGTGGGCTCCTCGGGGGAATACCTCTCCTGGGGAGCCAGGGCCTTCCTTCTGGACACTTGCCAGGTCCAGAGCCCAGCAGGTCTGCCCACAGAGGGGTCACAAAATTACCCAAGTATCTCAGCTGTGGCTTTGGTTCAGGCAGTTCGGGTCTGGACCTGCAAAGGGCCTGGCACAGGGAAGATACCCTGCACCCAGCTCAGGGATGTGGGGTCCAGGCTCCATCCCCTATCCCACTTCCAGTTTCAGGCATGTGGCACAGTTCCCTTGAAATGCTCAAAGCAGATTCCCCTCTAATCCTTTATAAGTAAACAATATAAAATTGCTTATAAGTAAAATAATAGCAGTTACACAATGTCAAGGCCCATTGTGTCCCCGTTACATGGTCTCTTAAGTCCTCACAGGCACCCTGTGAGACAGGGATTGTTCTCAGAGGAGACTGAGGCTCATTAACCATCTTGCCCACGACCCACAGCTATGAGCAACAGAGTTTCTTCCTCAGCTCCCTTCCCCCTTCTACCAGAGTTGGGGGGGGGCCCAGGGCCCCAAAGTATGTGGAGGACAAGGAGGGGGCTCTGCCTTTGAGGGGCTCCGGGCCTCCCCCACTGACCTCACCCCTCTGTGACCACAGCCTGGCCCAGTCGTTGTGGGCCCTCTTCACCTCTTCTCTGGCCATCTCCCTGGTGTTCGCCGTCATCCCCCTCTGCAGTGACGTGAAGGTGCTGGCCTCCGTCATGGCACTGGCGGGCCTGGCCATGGGCTGTATCGACACAGTGGCCAACATGCAGCTGGTGAGGATCTACCAGAGGGACTCGGCCATCTTCCTCCAGGTGAACCCACCGGCAAGTGGGGGGCTGGGTGGTGGGGAGGGCCCTGTGCATCTGTCCATCTCCCCCAGCCCGCTCTCCCCAGGACCCAGTGTCTTTTCCCCTAGGACGGGGTGTGGACACAGAAAGAGCACCGGGGTCTCAGTTTCGTTTGACCAGCTATCTCTGGACTGGGGTCTTCTCATCTCTAAAATGGGGTAATGAGCCCTGCCTGCAGGGTGGTCATGGGCATCTAAGTGCTAACCAGAAAGGTGTTTGTAAACTAGGGAGCGGAGTGATGGGAGGGCTTGCTGTTTTCCTTCTGTCTCTTTCCCTCTCTCGGTATTTCTCCTGTTTTCTTGTCCTCCCAGTTACCCAGGACTCCAATCCAGCCCTTCCCTTTATTAAGCCTCCTTCCCTTTGGTGGATGCTAACATGGGAACAGCCCCGCACTGAGGGTTAAGATTTAGGAAAGGCGGGAGTGAGGGAGGGGGTTGGCCACTGTCACCAAATTATCCCAGGACAAGCAGGTGGCTGAGAGGAGCTCTCTCCTCTCCCTCCTGCCTCCCACTCCCTTTGCACCCCACTCTGGCTGGGCAGGGGCTCCCCAGATGGGACACAAGGTGGGGGATGGGGTGTGAAGCTTGAACCATCCTCCTACCCATCCCTCCTCTTTTCCCTTCCAGGTTCTCCATTTCTTTGTGGGCTTTGGGGCTCTGCTGAGTCCCCTGATTGCTGACCCCTTCCTGTCTGAGACTGACTGCTTGCCTGCCAATAGCACAGCCAACGCCACCTCCGGCAGCCACCTCTTCCACGCCTCCAGGGTCTTGGGCCAGCACCACACTACAGCCCAGACTTGGTCCAACCAGACACTGCCCGGGGTGTCGCCGCAGAATGGGGCAGGGACCCGCGTGTCCTACGCCTTCTGGATCATGGCCCTGATCAATGTGAGTGCCACTGGGGCAAGGCTGGGCGGGGCCTAGTAGACCTTCTCGCATACCAGTCCATACCAGCTCCCAGTGCAGATTCTTCTTATTCAGAGAAATAGACCAGGGCTGAGGTGTGTCCTCAGGAAGGCAAGAGGGTGGGAGAACTCACTCCTCAGGATTCATCTGAACACAAAGGGGTTGCAAAAGATCATCTCTAAGGTCCTTCAGCTGTGGCATCCTGTGGTTGCAATTCTCAAGGGAGGTAAAGCGGTGAACAGGTTTAGTGAAATCAGGGTCAACTTTCAAGTCATCTGAGGCTCTGTGGGAAACCCGCCCTTTTCCTCCAAGGTCAGATAAAGCCAACCCTGGACCAGAGCATCACAGACCAAGCCAAGCCCCTCTCCAGGGTACTTAACAGCTGGTGGGGTTCTCTTCTGCCCTGCTGTGATGGGGGGCTCCTGTGGAGGCCTGGAGATAGATAAGATGACCTCTGAGAGACCCTGCCTGCCAAGGCTGCCTTGGTGGGAGCACAGCAGAGAGATTACCTCACTGGGTCGGACACTGAGCCCCCTCTAAACCCCCAGCTCACATCCTCCCCTGCCATGTCAGCACTGACTCTGGTCTCTGGCTGGAAACCTCCTCTGATGCTCTGCAACCCAAGATGGGTTCTCTCACGTTAGCCCAGGCTGGGGCCAGAGGGAGAGATAGAGAGACTCCCCCACGCCAAGTCCTGCCCCACTTGGGAAGCAGTGTCAGGAACACTGGGAGTAGCCCTGGCCCCTGGCTTGGGCCCAGCATAGGCTGGGGATAGGGAAATATTTCAGGTGGCCATTGGCCTGCTGGCTGTGGGATGGAGTCACCATGTGGCTTATCACCCGGACTTAGAGCTTCTTCTGCACTAAGCATACTTGTCACCCTTCCAGAGGCAAGCAGGCTGGGTTCAGGCATGACAGCAGGGACCCAGCTACTGCTGGGCCTCAGAGTGATGCTGTGCGTGTAGCACTGAAAGGGGCCCTTGAGGCCACCCAGTCCCACTGAGCAGCAGGGCAGAGGGTGTCCTACCATCACTGGCTCAAGGCCCCGAAAGGGGCTTACAGGAGGCCAGGCCAGGCTGGCACCCGACTCCCTGAGGGCTCTCAGAAATGCCCCGTTTCTCCCTCTGCTCCTTCCTTTTTCTGCCGTGCCCGTCATTGTTTGGAAACAATGCAGCTTTGGGCCTGTGCTCTCCAAGGGGGACCTGCAAAGAGAAGGAGCACTGTCAATACAATGTCAAGGCTGGGACTCTGGGACCAGGAAGCCGGAAGGTCCAGCATAAGCCCGAGGCCTGTTTTCTCTTGCCCCATGAGGTGCAGACTAGGGGCACTTTGTTTGCTGCAGGATTTCCGGACTTCTCCATTGGTTTGTGTCTGAAGATAAACAGCTCACCACAGAAGACTATGAGGCTGTGCAAGCATGTGGGCATACGCATGTACACACACACACACACACACACACACACATATGCGCGCGCGCGTGCGCACAGGCACATGCACAGCCCACCTGGCACTCTCTGACTTTTAAGGTGGAGCCTGCCTTCCCCAAATGGGCTTCTAAAGATGGAGTGTATTTCTGTGGCAATGCCAGCGAATCCTCTGTAAAGTCTTTCCCACCACTCACCTCCCTGGAAAGCCCCACCTGAGTGATCTCGCCCCTTTTCCAGCTGTTTCCCCTTGGCCTTCACCCAGGCATTCTGCCACCAGGACTCTGTGTGTGGGTTTCCTGTTTCCCCCATCAGACTGGAGGGAGGGCCTCATCTTCCCCTTCAGACATGGGACTCCTGAGGGCAAGAGCTGTCTCCTCCCATTCAGGCCAGATTTGTGGCTCTTTTCTAGGCAGGAGGAAGTTGCAGTAGCAAGGGCAGAGGCTGCATGGGATGAGGTGCTTCTTGGCAGCGAGGGCAGTTAGACACAGGCAGGACACCTGAGGGATGTGGCGGAGGCTTCTCTAGGCAACCTCAGAAGCAGGAGACACTTCTCATTGCCCTGGGGAGTTCACAAAACCTAAGTGGCTTAATGTAAATAGCGGTGAGCTTAACATTGGACACGTGCCCGCGTGCATGTGTGTGTGTTGCAAGTAGCATGCATTTGTTAATCAAAAGGAGTCCATGTCTCTTTTTTCCTGTTGAGACACCAAGCCCCTGAGGGTGGCCTCTTACCTCCTTAGGTGTGACATCACCCAGACAACTCCTGAGATGGAGATGGCACTGGCGCCAGTCCCACTCTGCCCCAAGTCAGCTGGTGACCAACACTAATGCTCACTGGGTCTCTAGCTTACCACTCGGGTCTCCTCTTACAGTACTAGGTTCTGTACTAGGTTCTGATGAAGGGATAACTTTGAGCCTCATTTGCCCCCATCTGGAAAATGGGGATACTAATTCCCCCCAGCATGTTTTATTGAGCTGTGATGAACAAAAGCAAAACTTCTAGGTAAAGCAACACATGATCTACCAGCATGACAGAGTGTGAGAGGCCATGCTCCAGCACATCCAGGACAAGGATGTTGGAAATGAGTTTACCTCTGGCACCTCTCCTGTGCCAGCTGAGGCCCAGTGTGAGTCCAAGCATTGCGTGTAACAAGTACCTGTCTTTTCAGGGAAACGAATGTGGCTGAGGTTGGGCAGCAATGAGTCAAGGCTGCAATAGCTGGCGACCCCTTTTAAGTGAGCCCCCTTGGAAAAGAGCTATCTTCTCCCAGGACTGTGCAGACATGTGCCGTATGATCTTGTAGGCATAGGCCAGGCATGGGAAGGGGGGAGCCTGACAAGAACAAGGCTCTCCTGACCCTCTGCCCACCCCCAGCTCCCAGTGCCCATGGCTGTGCTGTATCTGCTGTCCAAAGAGCGGCTGCTGACCTGCTGCCCTCAGAGGAGGCCCCTGCTCCTGTCTGCAGATGAGCTCGCCCTGGAGACACAGCCTTCTGAGAAGGAAGACGCTTCCTCGCTGCCCCCAAATATTCAGCCACACCCAGGTGGGGGCTCTAATGAACTTTCATGCTCACAGCCCCACACCGAGGCTCCTCTGGTAACCCCTCCCCCAGAGGGTGACCATAGGTCACAGGTGATAATGGTTGGAAAGGAACCTTGGCACCAATGGTCTGGTGAGGCAGGAGATGGAGCAACCTGGCCAAGAGAATGAGGAAGGCAGACTTCTGGCTCCAAGCTCCGCCTAACTCTGCCTGTGTGACCTTGGGCAAGTTACTTGACCTCTGGACAGGGGCTATTCCTAACAGACGGTTGAAGCTAGAGAAAGCAGCAGGCAGTAAGTGGTCCCCCATTCAGCCAGGGTTCATCTAACTGCCAGCCACTTCCCCTGGGCTCGCAGAGGAAGGGGGAGCAGAAGCTGAGACTCACCCTTGTTGTTCTGTCTCGTCCAGCCCCTGAGGACCTATTCAGTTGCTGCCAAAGAAAGAACTTCCAAGGAGCCCCTTATTCCTTCTTCGCCATCCACATCACAGCAGCCCTGGTCCTGTTCATGACTGATGGGATGACGGTGAGCCTGCCCTCAGGGTGCACCTTCTTGGGGAACCATCCACCCCAAGACTCAAGTCTGGGAATGGCAAGAGAAAGAGAGGGGCGTCAAGGTTTTCTGGAGACCTCACCTGTAGTACCGTTGATCCAAAAATTTAAACTAAATAAAAGTCCTAGGGGAGACTGTCTCCAGAATCGTTCACAGCCCCTTGGTACTATGGCCTTCTGTCCTGGCCAGTTGTTTATATTTTTGATAACTCTGTGGTTAGGGGCATATAGGTTTGTTACTGAGTATAGGCTACCCACATTTTTTTTTTAAAGGGGCAGAGCCCTATCCCCCCAAGGAGAGGTCATGCCAATTAAACGCTAGGGAACTCTGCTTCCTGGAATACATTCCATACCTGGGCTTCTCAAGCCATGTTGTAAACAAGCTACAGGCAAGATCTTGGCCCAGCTATTCAGTCCACTATTGACTTGTTACACTTAATGCCTTTTTCCAGAAGTCTCTAAGGATTAGATTACGATAGTTTTGAATGCTTGATTAACTGATTGCCATATGAGGAACTCTCCAAAGAGAAGGCCCTAAAAACTTAGACAACCTGGTGGAAAGCACTCGTGACAGTACTGGTTGGCTTCCAACTCTCAATGTGACCTTGGGCAAGTCACTTCTCTTTACCCTCTCATCTATAAAATGAGATGTTTGTGCACACTTTTTTTTTTTTTTAGCTGCAGCAAATGTCCTTCAACAAAAAAACTTTCTGTGGAATCCTCATAAATAAGACATGTGGTGGAACCCTGCTCTGGTGAAGGGGGCCGCAGTGCTTGTGTGCCCAGACCTCGTGGCCTCCCTGTGGAGATGTATACCTCCCTGGAACCCCTAGGCCTCCGCAGGTGCAGCCTGGGAACTGTGGCACCCCAGGTTCTGTTCTCAGCTTGGGCCTGTGTGTGCTGTATGATCTTGGCCCCAAGCCCACCCTTTGTTGAGCCTCTAGGAGCAGAACGGATCTTCCCCTGCCTGTACTACGTTTGCCCAGCCAGGGCTCCCTCTCCCAAGGTTATGGCCTGGCTGCGCGGCAGGTGCGCTCAGTGGGGCCTGTCTCTCCACAGGGAGCATACTCCACCTTTGTGTACAGCTATGCCGTGGAGAAGCCGCTGTCTGTGGGACACAAGGTGGCCGGTTACCTCCCCAGCCTCTTCTGGGGTTTCATCACCCTGGGTCAGCTTATCTCCATTCCCGTCTCCTCCAAAGTGAACCCAGCGACCATGGTTTTCATCAATGTGGTAAGTGGCCTTCCACTTCTTAGAAGCCCAGGAGAACCATTCATTCCTGGTCCTGCCACTGCCCCAGGACTTTTGCTCAGGACTGGACTCTGCCAACAGGGTGGGACAGGAGGAGTGGAGGGAAGAGAGATGCTGGTAGGGAAGGGATGGAAATCCAGGAGGTGGAGCCTACCCATGTGATCTTGGAAAAGTCCTTTCCCCTCTTTGGGCCCCTGATTTTGTATCCATAAAAGGAAAGGGCTGTAAGAGGTGACTCCTGCTGTGTGTGGAGCATAGCCCAGCTGACTACCTGCCAAGAGTACCAGGGAAGCAGGTGCTGGCCTTGGTCCTCCCGTGTTCACCTTGGTGCCCGGTTGGTCAGAGCCTTGTGGCCAGTGGATCCCTTGGCCTTCAGAATCACCCTCTCTGTGCTGGAGCCTGGGAATTTGGATTTGGAAACTCTCCCAGGTGATTCTCAAGTACCCAGGCTGGCATGGAGGCTGCCTTCAAGGAATCGCTCGGGCCCAGGAAGCCTGGGCCCGAGCGATGGGTTAAGACTTTTGCCCTGATGTGTGTCTCTGTCATCATCTGTGACAAAGGGGTCCAGATTACAGATTCCTGAAAGGTCACCTAGCCCAACCTCCCACCAGGGTTTGGATCACCTCTATAATATTTCTTTACAGAGGAGGGGTACACAGTCTGTTTAAACACCTCCGGTGACTCACTACCTTTCCAGGTAGCCAAATATATTGTCAGAAAGGGCTTTTTTGGGTTGAGTTTTTGGTGGAGAGGGGATTGGGAAATAATGTTGGGGCTACGCAAACCAAAGAGCCCCATGCTCCAAGAAAGGCCCTTGGATTTGGCCTTGTGCTGGGTCTGGGTTATGACCTTCAAGAAAGAAGTCTCCATTGAAGACAGATGGGAGGTTGGGTGGGTAGAAGCCAAACTCAAGAGGCTGAGGGCAAGAGGGAGATTGGGAGTGGAGGCACAGCGTGTTGCAAATATTTCTGAGCTGAAGGGAGTTTCGTTTGACAGGAGTCGGGGTGGTATGAGCCATTTGTAGGCAGAGGAGAAAGGGCGGATGCCTGTAAGGAGAGGAACTGAGTGAAGAGGGCCCTGGGAGCGCGGGGAGGGAATGGGCAGCGGGGACACACGAAGCTCGGGGAGGAGGGAGGAAGCCCCTGTTCAGTGGAGCTGGGGTGACAGTACTCAGGGAAGAAGAGGTAAGAGTGGCGAGGGCACAGGCCCTGCTGGTGGACATGAGGCTAGCTGCTTAGAGAGAGAAGAGGGGGTGGGGTCTGGGCTTGAGAGAAGGAAGAAAGTCTGAAACATCCACGTGAATTAGGCACCGACGATAAGAGTGATGGGTTTTTTTTTTAAGATTTTTATTGGGGTATTGGGGGGATGCGAACAGCGCTGGGGAATTGGGGGAAGGGGAACAGACAAGTTGCTGTCATTTTGTTCTTCAGTCTAGTTGTGGAGGTCATTGCTTCACTGGCTCAAGCTGGCACCATCACTGCACTCTTCCCAGGCGAGGTACATCAGTCGCTGGCTTCTGGACTGCCGCTCACTGTGGCTGCTGGCCGCTCACGCTGGCTGCTGGCTACACACGGTAGCCCATGGCAACCCACTGCCACAGGGACTGCAGCCTACG